AAAATGGCCTACAAACACCAGAATTAATTTCAAAGTGCTACTAACGCGAAGATTACACCGATCAACACGAGGTAAAATGCCAAAGGAGTAGAGCAGAGGTTTCCGCCGATGCTAACGTCTAATGTTATTCCCTTATCTAAACGCCATATAAGTCAACTCATCCATCTCCTTTAATCACAAAGTCCTACATACTTACGCTCGCATGTTCTCACTTATACTGCATTTTAGACTTCATAGCTAATTAAATGAGAGACATTTTTGTAGCTGTGCGAAAAAAAGAATGGGTTGTAAGAGCAGGGTCAGGGATGAATTGTGGTAATCTTCCCACCATGACAACCCACACGTAAGAAATATTGGTAAATTGACTTCAGTGGCAACATGACTGAGAAACATACTGTGGTAAGCCTTTTTTTCTCTAAATAAAAACTGCTGCCCATTCTGTGCATATGCGTCCTTTTTATTGGTTCCATGCTTAGAATGACTTCGAGTCCATTAAAAAATCGGGTGACTTGGGTTTAATAGAGTAAATTTTTCGATTGTTTCGCATGATGTCGGTTGGTAAATATGAGAGAGCCGGTGAATTGGTCCATTATGAATGTCCAGATTCTGAATTTACTTATCACACTTACAAATGACCGCTACCGATCGGCCATGTGCAAGTGGCATTACATAAAACCATGCATGCTGCAAATACCTTTTTCCGTTGATGTCTGTTTTCGAGGAATTAAAGATGTGTCTAATAATTTTTGATGAATGCCTTCACTGAGGTATCCAACTAAGACCTGTCATATGAAACTAGAAGGAAAGTAAACAACCGAGGGAGCGCAACCTTTAATTGACCCACTGTGTTCGGTTAGCGTGGCAAAGCATTGGTGTGGGCGTGTACATGTGAGTGGTTGGTGGGGGTAGAGGAGGATGCGGCGTCGGCTTTAGGTGTTAGGGCTAGATATTGGTGTAAAATAACAGTGTTGTGGGCCCCAGCATGTGGTCCTGAACCACGCCGGGGCCATTGAATCAACCCTGGCCCGATTACGATTGCCTGATGCCCGCGATGATGATGAAGACCGGAGAGGACGGAACAAAACCGTTTACTTCAGAGCTCAACCAGAGGTAGTGTCGTTGTGTCGGGTTTGTGCGTGTGTATTTATACCTCGGATGCGTGAATCATAGATGAGCTAACATCGAGATCTAAGTGTGAGGTTAATCCAAGGTACATATACGTGTGAATGAAGGGGGGTTGAGGATTTGCGCGGTTGTCGCCATGCTGCGAGAAGGGGAGCCTTGTATCGGAGGCGAAGCAATCGGATTAAGATGTTGAATAAACACGATTCACAACAACAGCTTCAGCGTGCCAAAAATCACGATCGTGTGATTATGTTCCCTGGTTGGTGTGATGTTACAATCCTTGCGACATATCTCTCACGTGACGTTCAAGGGGAGTAGGACTGATAAAGAAAATGACATCATTCGTCCAGCGTGGAGCAAAATTACTGGCCTTCTTGGAATTTTATTCTGGTGGTTTTGGACTGGAAATGAAGAAACGTTTGAGTTGTTCTCCTCATCCATGCTAACCATAAGACCAGCGTACGCATTCGGCCGTGGAAGCCGGCAGCGAACGGAAGGACTGGTATTTGGCTTTGAATTAAACCCCATTTGGCAAGAGAATAAAAATCTTTCATAGATTTAGCGATATTGTGTCTAGTTACCACGTGGGATAAGGGGATTAGTGTCCATGTTATAAGTGAAGTTGCGCTTGAGTGACTTTCAGTCTGCTAGTTTGGCCATGATGCAACTAGTGCGACACTTCAAAAGTAGCCTCAACCTTGCGTCAGGAATAAATTCCGTCGCTGAATTCCGGGTGGAGCGAATAAGAAGGCTTCCAACAGACTAAAGCAGCTTTCATTTGCTGGTAACGGTCCTTTACCACGCCACATGGTTGAAGAAGTTTGGCGCTCTATTTTGAAAAGTCGGATGACACCTAGGTGTTCTACCGCTTGGTATTGCCAATGCAATCTTGAACTGCGTGCAGCAATGCGTTCGCCAGTGTTGACGCACATCGACCACGCCCTGCTGGTGCGTCGCATCACGCCAGTTTTTAGGCGGTGCGCGCGCGGGCGTGTGTGTGTGCAGGTGTGTTTTGGATCAATTGCATTGTTCTAAACGCTCGGAACCGGTGGCTTGATCAGCACGCTCGAGTCTCAACGTGTCGTCGGCCCTAAAGCGCCAGATAATCGCAAACACACGTTCAGCTTTCGTCGAAACCTCGCAGTGATAAAGCGACTAATTCTCAGTCATGGTTATTCCGTTGACAATCGAAGTTTTTGCTGATTCAACAGTAACATAATAGAAGGTAAAATAAGCTCTGATCTACAGAAAACAAAAGTGAAAATAATGAAGGGAAATGTGAGGCAATGCTTTTTTGACAAAACAATTTCGATCTCGGCCTTATGCAAAGCCTCAACGCTACCTGGTGGACGTTCGTATTTCAGACGTACAGCTCTGCACCATGCCCTGCATTAATGTAGGCACACAAATTTATCTGTCACCAAAGCCACAACTTCCAATGTTTTATCAGGATTGAGTGCACGCCTCCGTGCTACGGTCGACAAAACCGAAACAATTGGGGGAAAGCCGCACGCCGAAAGATTCATTGCTACTTAATCGTTGGGGTATATTTTGTCATGGTTAAACACGGAGTCGTTCAGGAATTAAGGTCAGTTGTGAATCGCGTTGATTCACACTCCGTTAATCCGGTCACTTAAGTTTCCGACACAACGTCCTCCTCTTCACAGTATGCTGTCAGCTGAGGGGGTCCTCAACTCAATAGGTCTGAGAAGCGGGACGTGAGAATCCATCGTTGTTAGTATCAATTTAGAGAATCTTTAATAACCTAAAAAAGTGCTGTGGAAATATTACTTTGAATTCCTTGAAAATACCATTCCATAATAATAAGACTGGGATGTGAACTGTCGGCTGAAAATGACACCGAACGTTGGTGATAAGTGTCAGGATATCGCTGATTGGGAGAGAAGAGATCTCCGAGTGGGATGATAGTCGACCTAATTTAGGTTTTATCAAGTCGAGAAAGTGTTACCGCAAATGATGCTGCAGATCTATCAGGGGTTGTATTTCCTTGGAGAAACGAAACACCGTTTGCACTATCTAAATGACCAATTGCAAAAAGAGACGGCCCGCTGACCTCGGAACAGAAAGTAGAATTGATAGACACCAGCATGGCCTTATTTTGTGATAGGCGGGATTATCATTGCCGGCTAGAGTAGATTGACTCGTGCTAAGGTAAATTTACGAAAAAAATCACGAATAAAAGCAAAGCTCAAGTTAGACAAAAATACTGATAAACCCGCCACTTCCTAGTATGAGGATAGCTGTTTTGGCATCCACACAAACCGAGATAAATATCTCATTATGATCCCACTCATATGTGGTGTTCGACGGCTAAGCCAAAAAAAGATTGTTGGTACCCTTGATCTCAATCAAAATTCTGCTTCCCATACCAAGGGTTTAAGACTATCTCCGTTTCTGACGCTTTCACTTGGCTTGATACAATGTTTTTTTTGGAAATAAAGAAACCATGGTTTACAATGAAGGAATAGAAGTTTAATCAAAGGGTACTATCAAATGACTCTGAGTAACTGACAGTTCCTTAGAAGCAAGGTGATTCTTCCTAATGGAACTGCTGAGAGAATCCTGGTGCCCCATGGATTTTTATTTGAATGTAATTATCTAAAAATCGACAGGACTGTGAATTGCAAGTGCCGCAATGCACACGCCCTAGTAACACCAGACAGTCTGCTGGCGGTTTGTTAGGCATCAACAACGTACCCGGCATAATTGATTCAGGAAGTGTATTGCCATTGCAAATAGTTTTATGAAAAAGAACTACCCTTCATACTGTTGGAAGGTGAAAGTTAACTTGCGACATTCAGGAAGCGGGCTGACTTGAAGACATTTAATAAATATCCCGAAAAAAAGCACTTGGTTATTCAACTGAACTTTCATTTCGGCAGAATTCAGTCTTAGAATATCATGGTACAAACAGAACACTAGTTATGAGAATTGATAACTCTAGCAGCAGGACTACCAGGCCTCACGGACGAAGAGGAAAGCGGTTAATCACCTCAGAAGACAAATAAGTTATCTCGAAGTGCCCCTTGGTATACATTGCTGGAATCGGCAAGATATGAGCACAGCGAGACTGACGAAAACAGACATTCTTCAATCACTTTAGGAATCAAGTTTAGACAAATTTCGAAAAGTGTAGATAAGTTGCAACTGACATATTTGAAAATAACCGATAACTTGACGGTCTTGATGATTGATGTGTAAGACGCACAAAAACTAACAGCTCCGCGACAGCGTCACCCACACCCATTTAGACCGAAAACCTACAACACCTAAGGAATGACATCATAAGCATTGCAGCAGCACACTAACCACCTGAATTCATTGACCTGTCTACATGAGTCCCCGTAACAGCGGCATGAAGACACTGACCCACCAAATTGTGAAACCGGAGCAATTTTCAACGCAATTCTCTTCCTGATAAGGGCTTGACTTGTCCCAGCAAATTACCATTCAACTCTGAGTAACAGGACCCCTGATTACCAGCAACCGAGACCTCCAGCGTGCAAATACCATTCCCATGAAAAATCCAGAGGCCAAGCCTGGGAAGAATGCATGGCACCACTTAACAAAGTGAGTGACCACCAAAAGCTTGACAAGACGAAGCAAACATAAAATGACTGTAATCTGATTTAATGGAGCAAACACCAATGACAATGTCTACGTGAACACACTTAAAGGGACGTAACTTGTAATATGTTGGATCTACCTCTAGCCGTTTACGGAAGGCGCGCGCCATCACCGGGGACTGAGTTAATAGCGAAAGTAATACGATGAAATTATATTACAAGATGCTAGCAGAAAGTGCTAACGAACTATGCAGGCATCATTCTAATAGCGAAGCTCCAACAAGTCATTCAGGCAACAGGCTTCCCGAGACGGTATCCGATGTACACCTGCTTGAATTTATCAAACCCAGCAAGCACACCAGCGCCGGCAACACCACGGAGAATGTTGGCCCCGGCTCCGCGCATCAGGGACATGGGGCCTTCTTCCTTGATAATATGCACGGCACAATCAAATGATCCCTTGTACTTGACGGCGGCACCTAGGAGCGATCAAATTTACCAATTAATCCTACCTGAGGTCATCATCATGCGACGACGGATAGTATCGATTGGATAGGACAATAAGCCAGCAGTCACGGTAACACCATAGCCCAAAATAAAGCTTATAGTCACACCGGCGTCTTCACCAAGGAAGATGGGCTTAATGGTATCGTAAAGGCCAAAGTAAAATCCACGATAGACCATGATACCGATGCATGAAATGACAAAACCTCGATAAAGGCCAACAATTCCATCCGTTTTCCAAGTTTTCCTAAGTGAATTTAGAGTCGTGAAATGAATGATTACTTGTAAACATCGATCATGCCGTCGTATTGACGGGTAGCACCCTTCTTCGCCGATTTGGTGTCGCTAGCAAGTCGCGTCCGGCAGTAATCCAAGGAGTATACAAAAACAAGAGATAAAGCACCGGCAATGCCGCCACTAACAACGTTCTTTGCAAAAGAAACGGCATAAGGGTCATCTTTATGAGGTTTGATAGCGGCTTTCACTTTATCCTTGAAAGCAAAATTGAGTGCCTGTGTTGGGAAGTAACGAAGACAATTCGGGAGATTGCCCCTCCAAAAAGGCAAGAGACCTTGAAATATCGGCTAGGAATACAAACATACCTTCCGACTTGAAAGTACGAATGGTACAATCGATCACGCCGTTGTAGGGCCTGTCAAGGGTGCCCAATTTGAGCATCTCTCCCTGGTTTTGAACCAGGAGCTTCACTCTCTCAATAGGGGCAGCGGCTGTCTTTGCAATGACGGCTGCAGCGCCGCTGAGACAGAAATTCTCAACAAAGCCAAGATCATTGCCTTTTTTACCACCACCCATCTGAAGGAGAGCGACGAAGAAAGCAACAGCGAAAGTGACGGTGACGCGAGGAACTTTAAAACAAATGAAGTGAATTAAATCTCTTGAGTTATTTTTTTGTTATTATATGTCTTAATTTTAATTTAATTAGTGGCAAAATAATTTTTGCATTTGTGAGAATTTATTAATTTAGTTGGTCCATTACAAAATAACAAACGCATGAATTTCAGGTGAATCGTTCATTTACCGAATTTAGAATTTTAGCAAGACTCACAACGCCATTTTTAGCTGTATAGTGATATGAGTGATAATTTAACAGTTAAAAAAGCATAAATTTTAATTATATGCAGAAATAAACATCAATGACATGGTGTTTTTGCGGCCACAAACAATTACATATTCCCTCTGATTTAATCGAATACTCCTTCAATACTGCAATTCTTGCAGGACGGAGATAACATTTGGCAATTTTTATTATGGGTATAATTTTGCTTACATATATCCTATGAGAAGTATTGAAGCAAATCTACAGTTCTTTAATGGCAACTATGTCAAATCCAATTTTTGAAAAATCCACATTTATATCACAATCTGCCTTTAGCTTTTGTGATAATTAACAATCGGAAATTACGGAAGCAACAATACACGCACTCGTACAGGAATATGTACCTATTGCCATAAAACACAGCAACTTTATTGCATTAACCCTCAAACATTATGTGAGAAGCTTAAATTTCTCCTGTAAAGTTATGGATTGATGTAGTCATGAATTCAGCAGGATTTTACCTTATTCATTAATTTGAACTTTTATTTACATTAATGACGCTTAAAAGAATGAATGTTCACTTTACTGCCATGCTAGTATTTAGAAATTTGTAAATTTCCGTGGTATATTTGAGTGATATTATATTGGTGACGTGTATAGTGTGATGTAATTTTGGAATATGTTGTCAGCCACAAATTCTACGTGAAATGTATCCAATGTCGTTTAAAAATGCTCTAAAATTCAGGAGCAAGCATGAATTCAATTGATTTTCTTGGATAATTTCACGTAGTGGCCTTTGCTCAGAAACTGAATGTCAAGCATTCCTCTTTAAACTTACATATTGTCTGGCTAAATATTAGCTCTCTTATTGCCACAAAAATGGTTTAATTTCTATTTCCTTTATTATTCATCTTTTTCTTTATATACTTGCTGCTGAATTGGGCAGCAATGGGTATGACACGCTCCTACGTGGATCACCAACACGGATGCTGTCAGGACATGAATGTCTTTAAAACAATGTTAATTATATTACCGATATGGTTATTTCTGTTATGGTATTACTGTCAACATGAATTTCGATGCATAATATTAAACTGATAATTTGTAATAAGCCTTTTTGATTTGTGCCACTGTGTGCATTTACCGATATGATGCAAATCTATTTGCTAAGGATATGCATAATTGTGCAAATCTCGGATACGATTAGTAAGGTGTCACTTGGTTCATACTAAATTCACGATGTATTCCTGGTCAGCAAACTTAAGTGATAAAAAGGTTTCCACGAGAACGTGCGAGCATGGATCATCTGTGAAATTCTGTCTAAATGAAAGAAGAAAATTAATTCATTTGCCACAAATATTCGGCTATTTCGTACCGAAATATACAAGTTTCAATTAACGTGGAAACAATTTAATTGTCGACAGGGCTGATGCACATGATTGTTGTGTTACTATGGTCTAATCCCCACAGGGCCAAAGTCAAACAAGGTTCAGTTGATGAGTGCCTTGTTCTATTTGTTTATCATGCTTTTAAACACCAACTGTGGCTACGATGCAACCAAATCTTAATTAGTCATATAAAATATAAATAAACCGAACAAAACAGTATCGCATAATCTTGGGGCAGAATTTTTGCAATTTGAACTACTATTTGCAATCCAGAAACTACACCGTTTGCTTGGAACAATTTTATTCAGTTCGTTTTTTGTCTTAAACAGTAGTCAATATTTGGTTTTGTTGTGAATCGTGTTTATTCACACTCCTTAATCCGGTCGCTCCATCCTCCGACACAGGGTTCCCTTTTTCACAGCATGTCGCCAGCAGCGCGGATCCTCAATTCCCCCTTATTCGCAAGAATATTTATTTTGGACTATCCCTACACCTAGGTCTTGGTGTCAGCGCATCTATGACTCACGCATCTGAGGTATAAATACACACCCACAAATCCCAAAAAACGACACAACGACACCAACGTGGTTGAGCTCTGAAGTAAGTGGTTGTGTCCACGTCCTCTCCGGTCTTTTACTTCATCGCGGGTATCGGAGAAGCGTAATCGGGTCAGGGTTAATTCAGTGCCCTCGGCGTGGTTCAAGACCACATGCTGGGATCCACAACAATTGGTGACCCCGACGTGATGAAAGGTTCTTCAAGTCCCACAACCAATTCACCTAGGTCACTCTGTATAAATGTCCAAGTGTGATATCAGTAGTTATCGGTGTAGAAAGTAAAAGCTATGTGGCTAGGGGGAATTATGCGTGTTCGTATCAATTTACTGATCCGTCAATTATACCTTCCAGGTGTAGACTCATAGTTTTTGCTAAAACTTCCCCTGCATATAATGTTTTATGCCATGTACTGCCTTAAAAGCTTAAATTTTCGCCTTAAGCAACTCATTTCAAGGACCAAAAAATAATATACGGAATCAGAGTGACCGATAATCACCAGAAGTTGATCAAGGTGCTGTCATTGAGGCGAATAGCTAACCTCGTATTTCTACGTCAAGAGAAATGGATGAACGCGTGCAGATTCTTTGAGAGATGACAGAGCCACTATTTTACCAGCAAAAAGGCGTCTTTGATGGGTTACTGTTGACGTTTTTTCTCCAGAAGAAATAAGACTGATCGTCCACTAGTAGAAGATACATTGGTTTGCTGGTAGCCTGAAACCGAGGCGGTCAGGCAGGGACGAATGGACAATGGGAAGGGTCAGAAGAGAGCCAAAAGACGTTAAATGTGACCTGGTTGAGCCTGCCAGTAAGGATAAGAATTGTTCTGAGGATGGTTATGATTACAGCAAACAAATTCTCCTGCATTAAATGAAACCCGTTTGATGTCTGTTTCACGACCTTCAGTGCCACCCTGGATGGATTTCTTTACGCTGCTGGCTCATTCATCGATCGGCATTAAGTCTAAGCGCCTTTCCTGGGGCCCTAAATTTCACGTGATTGGGTTTGGGCAAATGAAATTAAAACTTAGCCCTATTAATGAAGTTTGTTAGAGTTACATCTTTGAAGACACCAGAGTTTTGAGTTTCGTAATACTGATGAACTTCGGGCAGTTCAGGAGATTGTGAAGTTTGGGGATAGAACGCCATTGTCGAGCTATGTGCAAAGAAGTGAGTCCCTAGGTGTGAAAATGACCATTTCCACCGCATTAAAGCCTAAGCTTCTGTCTATCCGACTGATTTTAATGAAACCTTTTGAACTTGCTTTTGGAAGAAATAGAAGCCAGTGAGCAAGGGGGCTGATCATGTAAATAAATTGGGCTCAGAAGGAAATCTTTAAGACTTACAATAATGAGAACGACCGTTATCCTTTTAGGCTTGCTTAACCAGGTCATGGTTCTCGTGTCCAGGCCCTCATCTAGCCCATCCCGTTCTCGCAGTGCTTCTGCTTGGCCTGCCTCATTTTGTGCCTCAGCCAGCACAATATCACTGACAATTTTGTTATTGAACCTTTGGCGGGAAAGGCAAACGACTAAGATCATTCTGTTAAGAGTGGATGGTTCCCGAAAATAATGTTCTGAGCAGGTTTCATCGAGATTTGCGACGCTCCCAAGAACCGTAGCAGAAAAGCCAGTTTGTTCAAAATCTACTGTCACCTACCTCAATGAATGATTTAAAACTATGGCCTTCTCGACCGTCTGAAACATGTGCTATTTTGCGTTATTCATTTCTGAAATTAATTTTCGAAATACAGCATTGTATATAACCTTTCATCCTAATTGCATGTGCTCATTTGGCGGAACCACATGCAGCTGACACCTGTCTCTGAGTGGTTTCATTGTGCTATTTAAAACAAAACTACTTACATCTGCATATAGATTTTTTTTTCTCAAAAACATAGGGCATTCACATGCACTACCGAAGGCCCCAATCTGATGTTGAAACCAGCGTTCCCCTTACAAACCCAAGTGTATTTCAGAAAACGCATTTAAATCTAAAAAGACATTTGAAATTAAATTGAGGTAGAATAAATGGGTAAAATGCGAATGAGAAAGCTTTATTATTAAGTAGACTGATTCAACCTTCACAGATATGACAGAACATGCAGCACCAGCAGAAAGCAAAAAATGGAAGGCTTGACGTTCAGTTTGGTGGGTTAAGCAGCCAGTCAACTTGCGGATGAGATTGGAGTCGGGCTATTAAAAAGTTTTTTTTGGGAAAGGGGGGTAAGGGGTGTAGAGTGGAGGAGGTTGAGTTCAACGCAGAAATCAGGAACACCAGACATGTTGGTTGAATCCAAGATCATGTGCCAGACAATTGGGTGGCATTGAGGGCGGGTGAAAGCATTCCGGTGGTCTCGACGACGCAACCGGCTCATCGAAAGTGTGGCGTCTGTGTGAGGCAACTGCATTGGTGTGCCTCACACTGCCATTGTCTGTTGAATTGCTAGTTCACATTAAGGTGGCTTTTGACAGTTCCACCTACGAAAGTTGACAAATGGGTAAGAATTGTAGTGGGGTGTGTTGTCGAAAATGCTGTCAATCATCAAAGTGTCACGAAGATGCGACGAATGTCCGTGTGCGTTTCACATATATGCAATTAAGGTCTTAACAGAGAGCATAAAGCGTTTGTTAGTCTAAGATCACAGAATCGGTGTTGGAAAGTGGGAGAAACGTTCTACTGTAAGTAGGAGCTTTCCCTTGAGCTGTACGTGTACGCATAGCTGCTTCCACGATGAGACCGCGAACGAGTGGAGCGCAGGCTTTCTTGCGTAGTTGCCCGTTCACTTACTCTGAAACAGCGATAAAAGCAGCAACACTTAGGCTAATCAAGAGAACGGTAGACTGTTCGAGGAAAAATAAGAAAAAAGGTAATCTTTGCAATGCCTATGTCTGTTCGGGACGATATGGCATATGAAGTAGAAGGTGGGTTGTACACACACAGAAATCTAGACTACGGGACTAGCGTTAGTAAAGTATTTTTTTCCCATGATCCAAAACCGCAGTTGTGAAAATGACTTCACATTAAAAAGTATGGTAGGTCACCGTAACTGAATCATCTGACATCAACGCACAAATTATTGCGAATCAACACGACGTAGACAATACTTTCAACGAGAACTCTTTGTCTGCAAGTTTTGTGCAATCATACGAACCAAGCCATTATACCGAGCTGAGGACGGCTTCGACAGCTACCCCGCATAACTCTTATCAGTGCATACTTTGCACCTAAATAAACGAGAAATTGAATGAAGGTGTTAGATCACACATCGACAGCCATTCTGCTAGGTCTGTGATTCGGATTCAGATGGTATCAGGCGCTTCACGAATCGAGTGTTTATGCATAAAATGCAACATTAGTATCATACCTGACACGGGTGCGAACTTTGGGATTAACGTCAACACGCGTGTTCAGAACGATTGGTTCGATTGTCTCAGCCAGAGTTGCGTCAGACGGAGTGATTTTCAGTGTGTATCGACCAGCATCGGTGGTCATGGCCTGGTCAATTGTGAGGCACATTTCTCCCATCAGGTTGCGTGTGATTCTGCGACGGCCATCGAACGCAAGCGTCCGGCCACCCTTCGTCCAGGTTGCTACAGGAAATTGAGGTTTGTGGTCACGATAAATGTGGCTCTGCCATTTTGGGCAAGATAATTAATGAACAGTTGTTTATAAACTACTCCTGCGGGAAAATAATTTAAAAACACCTGGAGGAAAAAGTGGTCAATCCAGGTCTGATTATCTCCACCTTTCAATTTATTACAGACATTGATTTTTTTGCAAAATGAAGATAACGGTGGAAAAGTTTCCCAGTAGATATCTCTGATCATCTCTTGAGTAGCTAAGCGTTTACATTGATTTTTGACGCAAGTAGAAACCTACGATAACATCTCAAACCGTGAGTTGGTTGAATGTGAGACTTCCGATATGAGCTGATTTACGACGTCCTAGTGTTGAAAGCTTCTAAACATATCTTAGTTCTAAAGAAGATCCTAACATTTGACGCACATTCTTCAACACTGAAAAAAAAGGTAAAGCATAAACACAGAGCGCAAATGTAAAACTCACGAATCAGGTGAATGTCCGACTTGATCACGCAGGAGAGTCTTAGCTCATCACCTTCGTCGATTTCTAAAACTTTCGGCAGACTTTTCACAACATCGATTCGACCAGGAGTGACTGTGGATTGCGGTGGTGGTGGTGGTCGTTTGATTGCATCAGTAGTTGTGGGCGTAGACGTGCCGGGTTTCCTTTGTTGAACACCACTACTATCTACGTGGATTAAGCAGGAGCATCGGTCACGTCCGACGGGGTTGTGGGCAACGCAGGAGAACAATCCGGCGTCGTCACGCTCGACAATTGGTATTGTTAGCGTGGCTCTACCGGACGTTGTCGAAGTAGCAAAGAGATAACGTGGATGAGAGTCGGGACGAAGATCAAGGCCATCTTTCTCCCTATTACAAAAAATTAAACCGATGAATTGGCTTGCATTGACATCAGGTGCAAAGAAAATTGGGCTTGGATTCATTAAAAAAAACCGGACCCACTTGGAAGCTCACAGATGCTTGCTTTACTTAGAAAGAACACGCCAGTGTTATCTAGTTAAGTCACAATTACTTCAATCCTACGAACAAGCAATTTTAAGCTCAGGAATCAAGGGAAATTCAGAAAACGTGGGACTTACCACTTGAATTCAGGCATTGGGTGACCCTCGGCGATTACTTCGAAGATCGCTTTTTGACCAGAGACTAGAAATCGGTCAACGAGTTGACGCGTGAACCTAGGCACCTTGAACATATCCTCGTGGGCCTTTTCGAGATGACACGAGGAGCGCGACTCACCAGCGCTGTTATAAGCAATGACAGTGTACTTGCCCAGTTCAGCTGCTGAACACTTCTCAATACGCAGTTCAATATTTCCGTTCAGGTTCTGGTTAAGATTGAGAAAATATGGAAATTAAATAGCTGGTAAAGTAATGAAGGAAAAGGAGAAAACGGATTAATCCTAATATTTATGTGCTTAGTTAGTCGGAATCAGATTTACTTTGGTGAATCTAAAATCTAAGATTTTTGTAAAGTCTTATTTAGCAAAATTTAAGTAAAACCTATTACTCGAAGGTTGATCAAAACTATGCAAACCACAATTTTGTCTATAGAGGGAATAGGGCAAGAAGCATAGCAGTAATTCGTGAAAAAAAAACTTGCCTTTGTTTGGTAAGGTGAGCTGGTGGAGTCCGTGACAAGTGGGATATCATCTTTTTCCCAGACTATGCTAGCGGCTGGAGTAGCTGTGACAGAAGCCGACAGACGGACGGAGTCCCCAATGCAAACCTCTCGAGACTTGAGACGTTGAATAAACTCTGGAGGATGACTCCGAGCCACGAGCGTCCTACTTTCCGAACCAAGACGTCCTCGGGACGTTCCGTTCACGTAGTTCGCTGCGTAAAGGACGCTTTTAGTGATCAGTAACAATGATATATAACTGAGCATACTTGAAGTCGAAAAACTGGAACTCGGAACCAATGTATAATTTGATTATAGGCAATCTACCTAATAGAAATACAGTCAGACTTACAATTAACAACCACGGAAGCTTCAGATATGGCCGTGCCGGATGCGCTGGTTGCGGCACACACATAAGCACCTGTATCTTCTGGTTGACAATTAGTGATGGTAAGCCGACACATGAGCAGATTCGTTGCGTCAACCTCTGTCGCTGTGGTACTAAATCTACCACCGACAACCAGGAGGCGACCATCTTTGAACCAACGGATCTGGGGCTCAGGGAATCCTTGCACATTAGCTTCCAGTGTGATGGTTCCGCCTGTGTTAGTGGTGATGTTGGAGAGACCAGTGATGAATTTTGGCATGGAAGAGCCAGAGGTTCGTTCCGCTGTGGGGTAAAATTACGCGGATAAGAACTGCTTTATTCTGCGCAATTTGGACACACAATGAAACAAAACTCACGTAGCACTGTAACAACAGCGGAGGAAGTGTCTGAACCGTTCTTATTGTACACGGTGACAGAGTATGTGCCAGCATCAGAGGATTTTGTATTGCGGATTTCAAGAGTGCAGACGATTTCGTTTGAGTGGCTTGACGCGTTAGAAACGGGTTCTTCTTGAATACGACAGGTCCCATCTTTGTCTAGAGAAAGACCGTTTCGCTTCCAAGTGCATTTTGGTCGTGGAATCCCTCCAACTAATCAGGAAAACCACGTGTTACATAATTAGAATTCAAAGGGGCCAATAATATGTGGGACTTACCCCTGATCCTGAACTTGAGAGATTCACCTGCTACCACAGTGTGATCAACAAGAGGTCGAAGAATTTTGGCACCGATTTGACTAGCCATGGCTGAGTTTGTTTCACGCAAACTCAAGCGTCTTGGTGTTTCGCCTAATAAAATCCAGAAGTGTTGGTGATTTTAAAGAAGACACAATAAGAACACAACAAGAAATGCACGTACGATTAACTTTGAGATTAGCTGATTCAGAAATGATTCCGAAACTTCCACGGAAAGTAGCGACGTACGTACCAGCGTCATAAACGCTCAAATTCCTAACGCGTAATGAAGCCTCTCCAGTGTCGCGGTCAAACTTCTCCAAGTACTTTTCGCTCATGCGACGACTAGGGTGCTTCAAATCTAAAACCTTTCCATTGACTGACCACTCTACAGTGACATCGCTCAGATCTAGCCGTTCCCTATCAGCAGGTGGGGCCAAGACACAACTCAGTGTGGTTTCGTCACCTTCATAGGTGTCCAAGTTCTTCATTGGGACAGCAATTTTAGGTGCACGGCCACGTGCACGAAGGAATACATTCATCGCAATTGTGTCGTCGTCTCCATACTGTCGCTCTTCGCTATAAGCGTCAAGGCTCATGCGGCGTCTTTTGCGGTATTCAATAATCCTTCTCCTCCTGCGAATATCATGTTCCATCTCGTCAACAAAATCAAGCCCTTCTTCGGTTGCTTGATTCCAATCTATCTTTCGAAGTAGGCGTCTGTAAGCGTTATTAGTGGCGATTTCCAGCCTACGAGCACTTTTGGAAACGATTTCCTCCGTCACGTGATGCTCAGATGTTATCCACGGATGCTTAAGCGCTTCTGAAATTGTGGGACGAAGAGATGGGTCTGGATGAAGGAGTTTACGAGAAAAGTCGATCAACTCAGGTGAGAGATGGAGGTTCTCAAGGTCCTCAATGTTCGGACGACGATTGCTTTCTCCAGTCAACATTTGGTAGAGCAAAGCTCCTGCGGACCACACGTCCGTGGCTCGAGAAATTTCAGAATGTGGCCGGGTGCTTGAAAAGTTGCGTAATCCGGAAGAGTATAGCTCCGGAGGAACGTAAACAGTTGATCTGAAAGTCAACCGAACCGGTTTATCTTCATTGAGCCTGTGATACTGTGAAACTCCACCAAGGACAATCCTTTTATGCGTCTGATCAGTGAAAAATATGTCACCTGGATCCACGCCACCAAGGAAAGCCAAGTTACGGGCATGAAGACTCTCCAGAAGACAGAGAATTTGTTGCATAATGACCGCAGCTTGTGACTCAGTCATTCTAATGCGACTCTGAATGCGATCCCACAAAGTTTCAGGAATCATGTCGTCAATTACCCAAATCAAGCGCTTAGTGTCAAGGAAGACATCACGAAGTTCTGCGATGTTTTTGTGATGCGTTGAAGCAAGAAGCCTGAGTTCCATTTCAGCACGCCTTCGACGATCTTCATCGGCTTCATGGCGAATACGCGTAGTTGGCGTGTAGACAGAGGTACGGAAATCGGCTAAGGAAGTGTAAGACCTACTAACTGGGATATTAGATAGATCACCCAGAATCATGGCTTTGGCGATTCTGTGTTCTCCACTCTTTCGGTCCCTGATTCGGTAGATGTAGGCATGTCGGCTTTTGGCCAGCTCTTCAACGATCTCATATCGATCTTCAAATTTCCGGCTGCTTAGTCTAATTGGCTCTCGGAAGTAAAGTTGACGAGAGGGCATTCGATTCCCTTCTTCTGCTTCCACCGCTTCCACACTGACAAATCCGGACGGTTCGCTTGCGGGACCAAGACCCAACATATTTTGAAGACGAACCCTAAATCGGTATCTATTTCCTGTTTTCAATTGCGACCCGATTAGCACCTCAGTTTGACCGATATCTGTGGTTCCAAGAAGGCTCCAGTTTTCTTCTTTGTCTGTCTGCTTGTCGGAAATGTACTCAATTCGGTAACCAGTGCTCGTGATGGTATCTTCCGATGAAGATGGCGGGTACCAGGTAAGGAGGAACTGAGAGTGGCCTTGAGGGTAGACCTGAGGTGGTTGAAGTTTGGCCCTCGGCTTATCATCGACATGAAGTCGAAGGTCAAAATAGTCACGGCCGGCTTCATTCTCTACCCATATACGATAGAGACCTTCGTCCTGAATGCGCACATTCGGCATGTCAAGTGTCAGCCACCGACCACACTCTGAGACTCTGACCTCTGCTCGACGCTCCGCGGGAGGAAATACACCCGGAGAACTACGCCGTGGCTTCCAGACACATTCAACCCAGGCTTGATTTACCCAACGTGGTCTATCAGTTACGTAGTACGGAAGATCAAGTGGGAGGCGTACATCCCAATTTCCACCGCTAACTACGTGATGATCACTCTGCCCAGCCAGAAAGACGGTCCGGCTGAATCGTGCAGGGGCTAAAAGATGAAAGTCATATATTTAACTTGGGTTCAACCACAAATGCTAGCCTTTTCAGTAAACATACTCTCAATATGTATGCGCCAGGATTGCTCCACCTCTTCATAGAGGTTTCGAAGTCGGCAAGTTATTGTCCCCTCATGAACGTAGTCAATGCTGTTTATGCGAAGTTCATACACACCAGAAGGTTTCGCGAAAATCATGTAGTTTGAGTCAATTTCGGGATAAATTTCGAGGCCATTCAAGAACCTAAATGAAGAAAGGTTATCCATAAGTGAGCTCTTAAAGTCGTCTAATTTGTTCGAAAAGGTTTTTTTAGAACCTTACCATGAAACTGATGGTTTAGGCGAGCCATCAACTTCAAAAGTTATGACCAGTGTCTGACCGGGAACGCATTTAATATCACGACTGGGCCCCACGTTGACGAAACACAATTTCTTGCGTCCTGCAAATAGAAGTTGATCAAGGAAGTTTAAACCGTCAAGACAAACATATCTTCGCTCTATATTAAGGCCTGGTTCAGTAGCTAGTTTAGAATAGATAACTAAACTTGGATGAACAGTGCAAAAACCAGACATGCGCAAATACTTTAAAAGCGAATCCAGTTGAGTCACGGTAACTGAAAAAATATTAATTTGGTTGCCAATACACAAATAGCTAATGTTTATGATGTCTCACAATGCTAAGCTTCAACGCATTTGAAAAGAATTTATCAGCCAAAGACACAGAAATATAGACTTTTAAAAAATAACGATGACTACTCAAGAAACATATTCGTGTTGACTAGGCCTCTAAGTTATGTTTGGTTCGGGTGTAATATTTGCAGCATTTGCCTAATTTCCCCCATGTATATAACACGTAGGATTGTTGGCATAAACCATGACTAAATAGATAAAAACAAAATTGTACAATCACAAAATAAATAGGTAGTCAACTCCAACTTACGACTTTTTTCTGCTAAAGAAATGGGACTTGATAGCAACTTCGGGTGACTGTCGACTCCTCCCATGGTTGCGATAATTCGGAAATGCCAATCTGCAGAGGCACCTTTGATTATTTTCTCACTCGGACCGCAAGGGACAAGTAGGGTCTCCAATTTACTGGATTCCAGAGTGTATTCTGTATCTCTTAGGTCCTTCGCCACCAACCTCCATGCATTGTTGCTATCATACACTGATCGGGCTTCAATTCTGTACCGAACTTTGTTTGTTTGAGTTTCGAGGCTTTCTGGAGGAAGCCAAGTGAACCGGAGTCCCCCTGGTGGAATCGGATTAAAAGTAGCCGAAAAGTTCCGTGGAACCATGAGGTATTCTGTGTCTTTCGGTAGGCTGGCACCACGTAGCTCTCCTCCGCGTGTTCTAATAGGTTGAGAGAGGGAAATTTCGCGTGTTATCATTGATGTTCTCTCAGCACCGAATTTGTCTATAAGCCGGAAGGCATAAGAACGTCCAGGCAGGAGATCAGTCACTTCATAAGTGGTCCTTAATTTCGAGACGGGGATGCGAGCAATCGGTTCCCATAAGGGTTGAACGAGGCTTTGCTGAGAATCTGGAATGAGACGCTGTTCAAGATACAAGTAGCCAGCTGGGTGATCCGGTAACTTGTTGTAATCCCATTCCAAGAGTACGGAAGAAGGGCCAATGTGGCGGGTGAAAAAGCGATCTGGAATCGGGATTTCTGGTGCAGTGTAAGCAGGAGCTTCTGGGGAACGCCTTGGTGAGATAACGTTTGTTGACTCAGCGACGCGCTCGTCAAAACGAATCCATTCGGACTCTGGACCATCGTCACTTCCAATGAGGTAAGCAGCTCCACGGAGCAAACTTGCAGCCTCGGATACAACGGCCTTGACACGGAATTTAGAAGTCGTGTCAACATCGACAGTGTGGCACAACTTCGGCGTTCGACTAATCTCAACCCACTGACGACGCCCTGGAATGCGTCGTTCAATAATGTACATGACAGGACCTGGTAGGGGCGATCTGGAATCCAAAATTGGAGGATTCCAGCACAATCGGAATTTACCACTGGGAAGTTCCTCAATTGTTAGTGGTCCTTCAGGTGGTGGAATAGCCCTAGGTGGCTGCTTCAGGGCAAGCTCCAAGTCATCCGTAGGTGGCAGTCGACAAGGCAAAAGGCTTTCTACAGGCCGTCCGAAGACATCATCTTGATAAGGGATCATCCTGAAGCGATAAGACTTATCAGCCTTTAAGTGACGGACTAGGAAACTGGATACTGGCAGTCCGCGAGAGGTCGAGGGAATTCGCGAGATTTCTCGCCAGCGATGAGAATGATCATCCAAGGAATTCAGCTCGATGATATAACCCGAAGGCAATTGTGCCGGTGGTTCCCAAGAAAGCTGGACACCTTCTCTTGTTGGTGCGACATCCAATAAACCACGAATGCTGGGCACAGGAACTAAATAATATAATAAGATTAATGTAGATAATACCTTTAGACTGATCGTTAATCAAAATTAGTAATATTTGTGCATACCTGATTGCTTGGGAAGGATGTGGGGTACAGAAGCAGTTGGCCTACTTAAGACAGTGGACGGAGTTTCAGAGTAGAGTGAGGTGCGTCGAATTCTGGCTGGCTGCGGTCCCAACTGTCCCTTCGACATGATTCTAAACTCATAAGATTTTCCCGGCTCAACCTTTGTTGTCTCCAAAGAGGTCTGCCAAGCTGGTAGATCAGCCAGGAGTTTCCAGTTGCCTCCCTCTGATCGATACTCAATCACATAACCAACTGGAAGAGTTGGAATGCTATGGTTACGTTTTGCGATCGGGACCTCGGGAGGTGTCCACGCCAGCAGGAATCCAGGACGGTCACGCAGAATTTGTGAAACTTCCAGTTGCTTTGGTGGTTCTTCAGAAAACAAATTTATTAAAAAGAAACAAAAGTTAAAAGAGCTCAAACTTAAATCAGGTAGTGTCTTAAACATAGATTTACCGGGTTGAGTAGAAGCAGAAGAATTCGGTATCCAGATGGGATAAGGTAAGGTTGATGGCTCACTTGTTCCTAAATGTCCGCTGACAGACACACGAACAAAGTGTGGTTCGTCGACAGGTAAGTTATGGACTGTTGCCTCATATACTCCGCGACCCAATTCCTCAAGTTTATGACCCAGAGTGCGCCACGTCCTAGTCTCAGGATACCACCGTTCCACAACATAGCTTAGTGGTGTGGTGAGATCATTTCGGGCCGGAATCCTCCATTTTAACGTGATGCTTCCTGTGGGAGACATGTAGGGTTCCTTCGGAGTGTCGGTTCTAGCACGAACCAATTGCGGATCAAGTGGGGCTTGAGGTGAGAATACACTCACATCCGACGGCGATACAGGCCCAGATGGACGACGACGGTAAGTCCAAGAAACAACGTTGGAATCTCGAAATTCTCCAACTCCCACTGGTCCTCGAACACCTACCCGGAATTGATATGCTTCGGATTTTGGATGATCGAGATCGTGAAACAGTGGTGCTGGTGGATTGAATGTGTAGCGCTCATGGCCAAGCGGCAGTGTGGTAAGATGCCTCCATCCGACGTCACCAGCAGGACGGTATTCAACAAGGTAACTATAATCCTCGGGTTGACGTCTCCTATGACTTATTGGGGTTATGGCAGGTGGTACAAACGGGACCCATTCTAGCTCGAGTGACGGTGGACTGCTTTCCTCAAAAGTATCTTGAGGTCTACGTAGTCTTGCCAAAACAGGTGCATCTGGTAATTTGGGAAGTTTTGATAAGGTTGCTAGTGAATAGATTCCGGGCATCACACGTGTTGTTAGTGGAGCACTGTGACCATACTCGTTCTCTGCTCTCACGCGAAGCAATATTGGTCGCGACATGCCCGCCTCCACGTTTCCACCAGGGAAGAATAGGTTGACTGAGGGCAAGCGAACCGTCGTGGCGGTGGTTGAGCCCGGAGCTTCTCCTACCTCAAGCCAAGGCGCAGTGGAGTCATCTGCCAAGGTTGCCTCAATAATGTATTTCCGTGGGTAAGCTGGAGTCACAGAACCTTCGCGCCTGCTGGGACCGTTATCAGGCCAATAAAGCGGTGCTTTCCAGCTCAAACTTACTCTGGAGTCGGGGAGGATCTCGGCTCTCAGTGGACCCCGTGGTGCCTCTGGAAGCCTTTGGACTGGTTCCCTTGTAACTGTGGGGGCTCCCCTATGCGTTATTGGCTCAATAGTTTCTAGTGGAAGTCCGGGTCCCATGTCATTTACAGCCCGCACGCGATAAAACGCTGGCTCTGTGTCGGACCTTCGAGTGTCAGGCAGAATATGCGCTGATGTCTGGTCGGCTGGAACTGTCATTACCGGGACCCATGTAGGTGGAAGACCACGGCGACCATATGACCGCTTTTCAATGAGATAGTGTGTGAGCGGAAGATTGCCTGTGTCTTCAGGGACACACCATTTCAAACTCACGGTATCGATGGGGGTTTCACGACTACCCCGTGTTTGGGGAGCAATCGGAATTGTTGATAAACGGTAAAGAAGCTCGTCAAAGTCACCCGCTGGTTTTCTTTGTGGCGACAGAGCTGAAAGTCTCGATGGTAAGACCGGAATTCGTTCCACAATTAGCGGACCTTTAGGAGCTGCAGGTATATCTACGGTGAAAGTAAAAGTAAGGGTAATTGTTTATGAAATTGTAATTATAAGGATGCACATGAGTAGAAAATGAAGCGACTTACCATAAGGCGGAACGAATTTGTATGTCTGTTCGACAGAGACCGGAACAGGCTTCTTCGCAGGAGTTGGGTAAGCAAGAAGGCGCAATTCAAGTCTATCACCTGGGTGAAGATCGTGAAGAGTAAAGGTGACTGGCCGTTCAGAAACCGGATATCTTTTCAAGGATTCGAGAGGTTCCAGTTTGCCAGCAGGACGCCAGGTCATTTCCCCTGGATGTCTTACTTGAAGTTCATATTCTGGCGTCGTTTGGGGGGCCAAGGCAAGCATTTCACCAATTGTCGTGGGTGGAACCCATGAAACTTCGACGCCTCCTGGTGAAGTTGGTCTAATCTGAAGTGGTGTTCGTTCGAAAACGGGAGCAGATACTCTTGAAGGCTGATGACTTGGAAGCCTAATGGTGTCTGGTGCACTAACAATTTGTCCAATTCGACCAGAAGTGACAGGTGCAACACCAACAAACATTGTGACATCATAAGGCAGCTCACGAAGGACAACCGAATCTTTCGGACGGGCCGCAGGAAAACGGTCGATTTCTTGCCACTGTTGACTACCAAGTTCACGATAGAATGCGATATATCCCTCCGGACGTTTAGGTTGACGTTTTGGTTCTGGAAACACCCACGAGAGCTCCACTTCATTGGTGGCTTTTTGTGGTGGCTGTCTTTCAGTAATTCGAGCACTAACACGAGCAGTGGTGATAGGTGTTAAGAGCTCCCTACGTGGAAGAACTTCCTCTTCGGTAGGTTTCGGGACCAAAATGGTGTCCTCAAGCCGTGGAGACAGGAGCGGTGTTGTGAGGTTGCGAGCATCACCGATAGACGAGATTCCAAGATGTAGAGTTTCGGGCAAGCCCCTGAGCATTGCCCTTGGGATAACAAAGCTTGTTGTATTGACATCTACGGTGCCTAAATGAGTCCAGTTAGTGCGGAAAGGTTCACGATAGGCAATATCATAACCTCGTATGCTGTGAGATGATGAGGGTGGCTTCCAAGATACACAAATGTCGTTTGGAGGCCGTAATCCGAGCCGCACATCAGGACCTTCAATTTCCTGTTGGCTGAATGGTCGTGGGAAAACACGAGTGACTGAAATTGGCCCACGAGGTGGTTCAGGGGCAAGCGGTCTAACTGGAGAGTATGGTCGAGACAGCGGTGTCATTGTGGATGGTCTCAAATATATCGGCTCACTCAGCCCGTACTCATTTTCAGACGAAAGACGGTACTCGTAGTCCTTTGGTTCACCAGGTAGCCAGCTCGTTGTGCTTCCCGACAGAGACTTAAATGGTAAAATAGGAAGGCTTAAGTCAATATCTGGCAGAAGCATTGATGTTGGTGGGGGCGAGCCAAAGGTCACTTTCCACCGACTGCCCTCGGGAATCGGTCTACGGCCCACTACAGCCCATTTTTGATGTTCTTTTCGTCTGGCCTCGAGAACATAATTTCGTGGGGTCGAGAAACGGTCTGTTACAACGGGCTCTTCCCATCGCAATTCCATAACCTTTGTCGCCTGTTCTGTGGCGATTGCAAGACGTTGCTGTGAAGATAGTGGTTCATAAGCGAGAGGTCCCCTTGGTGGTGCTGGGGGCGCCTTTCCGCTAGGGAAAAGTAAACCTTCAGGCGACTTCCCAGGGCTATAGTACTCCTTTGCAACTCCAGGTTCACTCAATCCGGCTTCATTTTGAGCTCGAACTCGGAACGTGTAGACGACATCGTCGAGTAAGTGCGGGATAGTGATTTCGGTCACGTTTGCTCCAACCTTTTTGAAGGGCACCCACTGTTTACTGCGAGAGTCCCATTTTTCAACTAAATATGAATCAGCCTCAGCTCTTGAACCAGGTCTCCACGAGAGAATACATGATCCTTCGTGAGGAGTACCTTGAACAGGCGTGAACTCGATTGACGTTGGGGCTGGAGGACGATGAATTTGAGCCCCGGGTTTGTGCGGTTTAGGGACGGTGGAAGTAACTGGCAGAGACTCACCAACACGATTAACTGCTGTGATCGAAATTCTGTACTCGTGATGAGGATGAAGCCCTTCGATGCGGTGAGTTGTCGTCTTAGGTCCAATAAAGACTGTCTTTTGCTCGTCTGTATCCGCATCGAAGATCCGGAGTTTATAACCAGTTAGAGGTGACCCACCAGTATAGCTTGGAGGGCACCATGAAACATCAATTGGTCGTCCAGGTGTTGAAACGCCACCAACATTTGAGATATCAACACCCCAAACTGAGGAAGGAACGAATTCCCCACCAGGAATAGTGATAGGTTTTTCTAACTGAAATGGTGGGGCCACTGGTTTCCCTTGATCATCACGTGGAACAACGCGGACCCAAACGTCGCGAGGTATCACCTCACCAGGAATTGGAGTTTGTGGAATTTCGGACAACGGCAACACGTAATTCGTTTTATCTGGCGGCAATTCAGCCATTTGTGTCCACCGACCACTGGTTGGACGCCAGCGTTCCACGGTAAAACCACTCTGACCGTCCCTTTCTGGCCATTCCATTGTAGCCGTGGTCTTACCAACATCGGTTACTAGTAGGTGATCGAGAGGACGAGGTGTCGATGAAACTGGACGCAAGTCGAGTGGTTCAATAACAGGCGTTTCGGCAAAGAACCTTTCAAGTGGTGCAGTGTCAAGTCCAGCTGATCTAGGCGTTACGGCTGATCGGCGAACCATACCTAGAGCAGCTTGTCTCCTTTGGATAATGAAGTCCGATACCAAAGGCGTTGCAGCACCAGTTCGTATCATTGAAAGTTCTTCATCGGCGTCATATTCTGTTCTAAATGGTCCAGTTACCGATGGCAGGGGCTTCCAATCTCGTGGAATTTCTCCAGTCTTTTCTATATGCTTTGCTCGCTCAAGGGGCACTTCAAATGGAATGGATCGAGTTGCATCGCCCATCGTAGTAATACGCATTAAAGGAGTTGATGGAGTCGGAGGTAATTCGAAGGTCAATTCCTGCGGAGCTTCTCTTGGAACATGAGCAACTGGCTTCCACAAGCGGTGCCTGGTATCCCAACTTTCAACAGAATAACCACGTATCGATTCAACATTCCCACTCTTAGGTGGCTTCCAGCGTAGTGTTGCTGGGATCCTACCACCAGGGGTCTCGCCAGACGGAACAAACGTGGCCTCGGAAATCGGCGGGAGTACATGGGGTTCACTTGTCGCTTCGGATGCAAGAACATAATCAGTGGTGACCCACTCACTTTTCCCTTCTGGGTATGTTGCATTGACCCGGAACTTATAGACAGCTTTGGGTCGAGGCACTGTTGCCCTGTATGTGTAGGCAGAGCTGTCTCTTTCATTTGGCATTTTCTGAATGAAGTCCATTGGTACCCATTCTGGTTGGATAGCTTCAGTATCCATCATTTCAACGGTGAAGCCGTTCAAAGTTGGTACATTGGGTGAGACCCAAGAGACCTCAATTTTATATTGGCCGGTTTCTGAGGGTGAAGACGGTTTAGCTGAGACGCGTTTGGGCGGCTCTAGACACACCCTCTTGACGTAGCTGTCAGTGGCGGCGAGAGGAGGACCACAGCCATCGTCATTGAGTGCAGAGATCCGGAAGAAGTACTCCTTATTCGGTTTAACGCCGGAAACCACCACCGATGGGTTAGCTAATTCGTCTGGGCTATTTGCGACTATGCTTTCTTCATTAGGATAAGTTCTCCAAGTAAAGCTCCGACCTTCACGCATCTCAAGTTTGTAGCCTTTAATGGGAAGACCGCCTGTGTTAGCTGGCGGCGCCCATGCCAATTCCACCTGGCCGATGTCATGGTCACGAACGTAAAGCGGTCCTCTGGGCGCTCCAGGCGGTTCTAATAACACAAACAAATTATTCCGATTAATAAATATCCTTAATTTAACCGAAAGTCAGTAAAAAAAGTTTGCATAGGTGATGGCTATCATGTTAAACCAGACCAGTTTGTAATGTAAATACAAGATTTAGGTTATTTGATTCCAAATACCGGTAGATTTTTCACTGGGGAGGGCACATTCGGCAAGCGTTTATCTTGTTCGAATCTTCTTGCCCTTCTACTTGAAAAGTGGAAGTGGATTTGGGATAGCCATTATACAAAAAATCTGACCCAAAAAGTAGAGTGAGGAGGTTGATACTAAGTGCATACTTGCGAAAATTTTTTTTTTTCAGTTTGCTATTCTAAGTGGAAGGCAATACTTTTAAAGACTAATTAGCCATTATAATCACGGATTAGACATGTAAAATATTCGATGATTGATAATGACGTCGTTAAATTATCAAATACGCCACCTATTGAAAAACATTTCGCCTAAAGTGGGTGATTTTCGGAGCATGACACACGACAACCTCAAAGAGGTCTAATAAAGAGAAATTGAGATGGGAGAACCCAATTTTTGGTTCCATAAAGCGAGAAAAAGAAGCTGCTACCCCTTAAAAAAAAGAGGCTGGCCAACTTGATGGATTTATCACATTGGCGAAAGCATTGCTTTTGAAAAATATTTTGAATTTTCCATAGCATCATTGTTTTTCCCCACTTTGGCCCAGAAACTGTGCTAACCTTCAGTTCATCATCTTTATTCTGGTTAACATCAAAATACACTTACGTTATACTTGCACGTAATAAGTTGAAGCCAGAAATTCATTACTATGTGCTGAGAAAATAGATAATATTTTTAATTTAAAACCGAGCACAGTTATCGGAAACCGGCTAGCACATAATGGATACTTTTACAGATTTGCAAACAGAGAGATCCACCAGATTTGGAGTTGTAAAGCATTTTTATCTCCCCTATGTGTTTGTTTGATGCGACCACTGGAATCTCGCATAATTAAACCTTGATGAATTTACACAAGAGTATCGTTAAATAACGACGTGTAAATCAAAACTCTGAGTTCAATTCATTAGGCTTTCAGGCACATTTCGACGACAACAATCAGTCCAATTTACCGGTCATTTTGCGGGGATGCACATCAACAGCAGTAACTAGTGGTTCCGAGAATCCATTTTTGTTCTCAGCCACAACTTGAAATTCGTAGGAGGTGCCCACCATCAGATAAGGGACTTTGAACTTGAAATCCCGTTGAAGGCTCCCAGGTACAACAGGGAGGCGCCCGACTTCCTGGTTACTCCTACGGAACATCTCGCGTTTGAAGATTGTATACCCACTGATTGGTGTGCCTCCATCGCTGTATGGTGCCTTCCAACTCAAGACACAGCTATCTTGTGTGATGTCAGATACCGTAAGGGGGCCAACTGGCTGTCCGGGTACAGCTGTAAAATAACAAAAATGTACGTATTAATGTACTTTCTTACTGAAAAGGAAAATTTGAACTTTCGAATGAAACCCACTGGTGACGGCTTCCGGTGACACAGGTTCCGTAGTTGAAACAATCTCACCAGGTCCTAATTGGTTGAGAGTAGCAACACCAAAGTAGTAGCTTTTGTCGGGGTTGAGTCCGCCAACCACTAGGCGATTCATGTAGTGATCCAGATCAGTAACGGGTTTCCATTCAGCTCTTGGGTTTCCTGCATCTTTGACATATACTCGGAATCCATCCAAGGCCAGGTGGTGAGGCCTGTTTGGACCATGGTCTTTTCTGCAATCGTGAGGAACAAGCCATTCCACGGTCACACTATCTGCTCCTTTGCCAACCACACGGATCCATTCAGCTTTTGGTCTACAACCTAAAAAACAAAGTATACAAAGTATAGTTGGTATGAAGAATTGAGTTCAAATATCAAACTTAATCTCACTTTCATCTTCGGGCATTTCAAAAAGCTCAGATTCCAGGAAGGGTCCCGTCCCAGATCGGTTAATGGCGGCAACACGGAAATAGTAGCCACTTGAGCGTTTGAGTCCTGTTACGGGGGTAGTTGTCGGGAGAATAGTATCTACGTCTTCGTCAGTTAAAGGCTCGTGCAACTGTACAACATTATGCCATGCTGCGGTGTTGGCATAACGCAATTGGACAATATACCCAGTCAAAGGAAGGCCACCGTTATCGATCGGCTCTTGCCATGACAAGCGGGCAGAACCGTCAGCTACAGATTCACCTTTCTGCACTTCAGAAATATGCATTGGCCCGATTGGAGCCGAGGGAGGACTGTAGGGGCTGACTGCAAGTACAGGCTTATCCATTTCCAATGGTTCACTCGTTCCTGATGCGTTTTCAGCAAACACCCGGAATCTGTAACTCTCTCCTGGTTTTAAACCAGTGACAAGAACCGTTGTGCCTTCAGCCGCCGGTTTCCTAGCAACGTAGACCCATCGGTCTTTGACGGGCTCCCAACGTTCCACGCGATGCTCTGTTGGCAATCCATAACCTGAAGCACCTCCCACTGGAGACGGACCCCAGTCCAGAACCATCTGTCCCGATTCAAGAGGATGTGAAACAAATGGCAGCGTTGGTTTGCCTGGTGCAGTTGGCGGTGAGCTTGGTTTGTAAGGTACTGAGTAAATTGGTTTCCCGGTTTTGCCAGCTTCATTGCGAGCAGACACGCGAAAAGTATACGTGTCATCTGGAAGCAAGCGCGTTACATCGAAAGAGGTAGCCTTTGTTGCAGATAATTCTTCCCATTCGTCGGTTTTTCCATGGTTAGATTCAACGATATACGTTGATATTGGTGACCCGCCATCGTCAAACGGTGGTCTCCACGACAGAAGAGCGGAAGTGTTATCTACAGGTACCACCCGCAGAGGCATTTCTGGCTCAGACGGAGGCCCAATAGGACGATTAAGGGAAATAGATGTATCTGTGTTTAGCCATTCGCCACTACCTTGATCGTTGACTGCGCGAACACGGAATCGGTAGGCGATGCCCTCACGAAGATTATTTACATAGTAACTGTTCGTAGGTGCCATTACGGTGGCTAGAGGCTGCCAACCATCCCGAGAACCCACTTCAAGTATTTCAAGATGATACATCTTTACTGGAAGACCACCATCCTCCTTTGGTGGTTTCCAATTGAGTTTCAGTGAAGTTAAAGACTTTTCCGTGCATTCAAACGGCCCTTGACATGTACCAGGAACGTCTAAAACAATAGATAGAGGAGTGTAATTACTTAATCAATAAAAAGCCCATGATGTATAAGTCGAAATCACATACCAAATGGACTCTTAACGGCAATGGGACCAGAGTAAAGAGGTTCGCTCACACCAGCAGCGTTGACAGCGCACACCTTAAAACCGTACTCAATGCCTGGCTGAAGGTTTTCAATGACAGCCTTGCAATTATTTGGCCCATCAATGCTAATTGGGCGTCCAAAATCTTTCCTTTTTCCATCCTTTCTTTCAAGTACATATCCAGTGACAGCTGTTTCTAGGGTTTCGCCTTCACGGAGAGAAGGAACCTTCCAACGAACTTCTACGGAACTTCCATCGTAGGGACCTTTAGCAGGTTTGATTTCCTGAATTTCCAATGGACCTTGAGGTGTTTGTGGTGGAGCGGTGACAACAAGCTCAAACGGCGTGTGGGTGCTTCCGGCCACGTTTGTTGCCTTAATCTGGTAACGGCCAGTGTCAGTGAGGGCCAAATTCTTTAAATTGACGTAGTAAAAGTCACCGAATTGTTCAACGACGCAACGACGTGAAACTTCGCGACTAAGTGGAATTTCAGCCTCCGACTCCAATTCTAAAGATGCATGGACGGTACTCTTCACACGTACTGGCACTCGCAGATTAGCACCTTCTCGGCATTTGAACAATTTGTCTGCAGTGATCTCGACCTCCGGTGGTTCTTATTACATAGAAAAACATTGGAAAATTAGCGAATACATAAATTTTGTCATGATGTTTGAGTTATAGATGATTTAATGGCAATGTATGCTCCCTTACCACTTGTTACAGGGGTTTTTGGTTTAATGGCTTCCATGAATTCACGTAGTTGTTCCACAATGTCCTTCGGCCGTTTGTCTCCTGGTGCGGCGTCAGTGACATCTTTGGACCCGGCATCGACTTTATCAAGCCCAGTTGGTAAAGTCTTCCCACGGCTTCCTACCGTGATTAAAATTAACAATAGAGCTTAGTTCAAAGCACAAGAGACTGGAAAGCTATGTCAACGGCACGTTACCTCCGTCTTTCGGTTTACGCAGCCAGTTGGTAGGTTCTGACGGTTCACTCAACCCAACATGGTTGCGAGCGAGGACGCGGAATTGAATGTCCATGCTGGGGTTGAGATCAACTAAATGGAATTCGGTGTCATCTCGCACGGTTGAGCGTCCGATTCGAGTCCAGCGGTTTGGAGGGCTGCTTTCGATATCTGGTGATTCTCTCATTTCAATGACGTAGTCGATTAATTCACTCTTTTCAAAAGACTCTGGAGCTTGCCATTTTACAGTGGCCTCACGAGCACCAATTCTTGTGGCCGTAACATTGGTGGGTTGAGCTGGAGTTTCTAGTTAGGAAAAAAAGATAATGCATTCGAAAGACAAAAAAATAAGTTTTAACACATGGATATGAAGGCTTACGGAGATCGCTTTGAAGCACAATCGGCGAATCTATTTCAGTTGGGTCACTGCGACCGACCTCATTTTCGGCCGAAACGCGGAAGGCGTAAAGCACGCCTGGTTTGAGGTTGCGAGCCTTGAATTCAAGTTCAGATGGTGAAGTCTTCCCAATCGTTGTCCAATTCCCATCCAAAATAGGGGAACCATCGGTCTTATCCGTGGCTACAATGAGGCTTTCAACGACGTATTGTGTGAGTTTCGACCCTCCGTCTGAAAGCGGACGTTGCCACTGAATGAAACAGGAGTCGCTATCTCGTGTTTTGATGACGTTAACTGAAGCTGGCGGCTGTGGTCTATCAGTAACAACAAGAGTCAATGTGGTGTCTGCGCGACCAGCGTTATTCTTGGCTTCAACACGATAGACTCCAGTGTCGGATTGTTCGAGTTGATTAATAATTAGGCGTTCACGCGTTCGAATGGGACTTGTAGGTCTTTCCTTGGGATGAACGACACACTGAATGCGCTCAATTGACCGACGAGGTGTCTCTTCTAGAGGCTGTCCATTTTGGAACCACGCAAACTCCTCGCAACCAGGAACTGCCTCACAGACAGCCTCCACAACGAGACGACCTTGGACAAATCCGCTCAGTTGCCCATCAGAGATGCGACCAGTAACTTTCTCAGAGGAACCGCGGGGATGTTCCAGTTTGATCAGAGGTCTCTGAGTCACCGTAACACGGCACTTAGTACTTACGGATCCGGATGAATTTTCTGCCTTACAGGTAAAAACACCTGCGTCTTCCAACTGAGCCCGATTTGTCCTCAGAGTCGCATGACGGTCGGTTGGTGAACTGGTGGTGAATTTTTGAACCGGTTTATTGTCCTTAAGCCTAAATAGGGGTTTCTAGTAATGCAATGATCTTTTAAAACACGAGTATCTCATGCCTTAAGACAAGGGCTTACCACGAGATGGTGGCTTTGGGTTCTCCGAGTAGAAAATCGCACTCGAGTTCAATCGGAGTGTTGACGAGGACAGTTATATTATCCAGGGGACGGGAAACAGTAGGCTTTGATGATTCTAAACAAATATCCATATATAGTCAGCCATGCCTTTCCTAACCACAAAATTTTAACAACTTATAAAATTAACTGAATCCGAATTTATTTATTCGTTACTTATTTTAGATTCCTAGGAGGTTCAAATGTTTTTGACTCACAAAATGAAATCAAAATGTACTTACCGACAACCTGCTCCAATGTGTATGGTAGAGAGGGATGAGAGAAATCGCTAGTGCCTGCAGAATTGATCGCGGCCACACGAAACTCGTACTCAGAATCAGGTTGAAGCTTGGTTATGGACAGCTGACAATCGATAGGTTCTTCGTCACAGGTTGCCCAGTAGGTTCCATCCGTGGTTTTATATTGTACTACATATCGTTTAATTTCGTCACCCCCATTGTCATATGGAGGACTCCAGCTGATTGTAGCACTATTTTCCGTCGCGATCACTAACTCGGGTCTCGAAGGACGACCGGGAATACCTACGGATCACGAAAAAATCACGTATTTTGCTCACGAATTCATCATTCTATCAATTTGTTGAAGTTTAAACTTCAAAATCTAAAGTCAGTCACCACGTTTTCGATTTAATTCGGATACATAAGCGTTCAGATAGTGAAGCTTCGTAAAACAAGAACCCAGGTTCTTAGAGTTCAGTCTTTACTGTAATTTCGTCGATCAATAAATGAAACAGCGTTTTCTAGGCACCATTAGCTGTGGATGGTAAATATTGCGTAAGCGGACAAAGTTATAGATCCAAAGATTCCATTTATACCTAACTGACCACATTTGATTTGATTTCAACTACTTGAACTTAAGGAATCTGTCAATTCATCTGGTGGTGGTTACACATTGAACCGCAAATTTGTATTAGTTGAGACATAAGATTTGTTGATTTTGAAGTCATGAAAGCAGGTATTTGGGAAATAGTAAATTTGATGCGCCGCTAGCAACCTATAGGCCTGATCAGGGTTTTCAATTATAGAAAAATTAATCAATGTTTCACCTGGTGACTAGATACCCCCATGAAAGGGTTTTGAGAGCCACTAATGTTAAACAAACGAGGTATGGGTAATATTTTGTGCACAAAAATCCAGTATGTGTGCTTCTACATTGCGTTCCCGCTAAGCGGCCTGATAGGTGGATACAAGCATTGATTCGAGGAGCGTAGAATCGAACAGATGTCTTTGTTTTGTGGCTAAAACTTACTGAATGGTGGTTTTGTCGAAATGCGAGAGCTTGGAGGGGAGAACTCGCTAGTCAAATAGTCCGCGTTTTCCGCAGCGACACGGAATTCGTACACGTTATCAGCAACGAGGTCTGTTATAGAAATTGTGTGGGGCTCGCTTGGCTTGATTACAGGAATTTTGTCCTTGACTGCACGAACCCAATTCCCTCTTTGATTGGATCTTTTCTCTAAATGGTAGAATGTGATTGGTACCCCGCCATCGGATGCTGGTGGTTCAATTGTGACCCTGCATGAAGTTGAGGTGATGTCTTCTACTTTGGGTTGATTGGGGGTACTTGGAGGCTCTAAAAAAATATTATTATTTCAACAAAGTAATAACAAGGATTTAATCAAGAAGAGAGTAAAACGTACTAGATACAGCTTCAACACGAAGTGGAATATTTGTTTCCGCGGGTTCTGACCAACCGTTGGAATTTTGTGCCACGACACGGAAAAAATAAGTCTTTCCAGGTTTCAGATCAGTGACCTTTCTGATAGTTTCCAGAGAAGGGCTACCAACAGGCGTCCATGTTCTTTTGGAACCTTTGCGTTTCTCAAGGATGTAGTCAGTGATTGGCATTCCTCCGTCCTTCTTCGGAGGTTCCCAAGTGACCTTAGCAGACGTTGGCTCGCCTTTTACCATTTCAGCGGAAAGATTTTCAACGGGTTGTGGAACGTCCATCACACGGACTTCTAATTCCAGTTTGGCTTTCCCAAGTTCGTTACTCACCTAAATAAGACAACCCAGAGTTAGGTATTATTCGCTCAAAACAAATTGAAAATCTGGACTTAACACAAACCTGAACGAGATAATGACCTTCAGCTGAACGATCGACACGACGTAGTCGCAGGGATGTGAGTCCATATACGGTCTCAGTTGAAGCCATCGGCTCGGTAGTAGCCTTTCCAAGGGGCAAATTTCCACCATTAAAAGACCAGTTGACTTGGGGTGTGGAAGCACCCGCAAAAGGGACCTCGATGACGGCACTCTTACCAGCAGTGAGAGAAATCAATTTCTTGCCCTCATAGTTGATCTTCGGTGGACTATGAATCGTCAGTCGCGCAGTGGTGGTCAATCCATTCATTAACTGCGCGGTAAAGACTCCTTGGTCACCGGGTCCGACATTTAGCAGCGTCAAACGTTGAACCATATTACAGAGAGGACCATCACCAACAACTTCATAGACACATCTGTAGTTTGGCTTGATCTCGTCGCCATCCTTGAACCAAAGAAGGTTCATTCCGGGTTTTGAGACCTCACATTCAAAGACAACATTGTTAGGAAGCACTTCAAGGTGAATATCAGTCAGTTCCTTCGTGAAAGTCACGTCAATAGCTACAAATATACACAAAATTGAAAACCATGTTAAAAAGGCGTACTTTCGACGGCAACTTTTTCCGCCAAAATTAGCAAAAACCCTCTAAAACTACAAGTTGTTCCCTAATTAAATAATTTCAAAAAATGATCAAAAGTACAAGCAATAAACCAGGACGTACGCTTATGGAGGGAGGGTGAAGGTTCAGAAAAACGGCTAGTGCCAGCCTTATTCCTTGCAGCAACACGAAATTCATAGCTTTTGCCTTCTTCAATCATCTCCAATGGGACATCCATGCTGGTATCCAATAACGGAACACCCGAAGGAACAGACAACCATCGATCAGAATCAACCTGTTTCATTTCCACCAGGAATTCCGGATTCGGTTCCTTAGTAGAATTAGGGACTACGAAGTAGTCCCAGGACAAAATCACAGACTGATCTACAGAAATACCACGTTCAGGAACTAGCTTCGCAATGACATTCGAAGGGCACGAAGGAACACCTAGGAATAATGACATAAGGACACCGAAAAAAATTCAAAAAAAAAGAAAAAAAAGAACTACAAAACATTTCACGAAACACAATACATACATTAAAAAAATTAAGAAAAACTCACCAAAAGGCAAACTGGCACGAACACGAGGAGTTTCAACAAAGTCCGACTGCCCAACCGAATTCTTCGCCGCCACCGCGAAGATGTACGACTTATCCACGGTCAACGCCTCCACTGG